GGGATGAAAGGAGCCAATTATTAGAGAGGAGCAGAGTGAGAGGGGGATAAAGGATCAGGGTGGGGAGGGGTGAAGGTAAGTTTCAGAAGGAGCAGAGGAGTGCAGGGATATAGATAAAGGACAGTGAATGAGATGTGTGGTGTGGTTTGGGAAGGGGGCTAGGGCAGTGGTGGTGAAGCTATGGCACGCCTGCCACATCTGGCTCTTTGTCATCATTGAAAGCCCTAAATCACACTGGTCGAGGATGATAAATTAAAGACTGGGCACATTGCGTGGGTCACTGGTATGTGGACAGGAGTGATAGGTTATAGGCTAAAATGTGGCAGGAACATGGGCTTGGGGTAAGGGTGGGAGGGGATGGAGTGAGGGGTCTAGAGAGATGTGCTTCGGCTTGAGAGCAGCTTTCCGACTCCCAGCCTTAACCCACTATGTCTTTGCCCTAGCCATAAACAATGCCTGTTCCTGTTCCAGGATTCCCAGTTCCTGCCCCTTCCCAGAACCCCATGCTCATATTCCTTGGTGATGAGGAAATGAGCTCCGTGGATCTGGAGGCCTCTCCCCTAAGGCCAGCTTTGCCATGCTTCCCAGGGGCTGCTTATTGACTGCCTGCCCTTCCTCCATCTCAAGAAAGGACCAGCTGCAAGGGTCTTGGGTCAGGAATCATGCCATTGGGGCAAGGCTCCCAGCCTGTCAGCCTGAGCAACAACAGGGACCACTGGCCAACTTGAGGCTCCTGCTCTTTGCTCAGTGTCCCAAGCTCCCTGCTCTTAGAACCCTTCATACCCGGCATTAGCCTGGGAGTCCTGCTTGGCAGGAAAGCTGTGGCAGGTGGGAGGAGAGAGGAAGGCAGTGAGACAGAAACAGCTGCCAGGCAGAGTGGAGGAAAAGCAGGGCCCTAGCAGATACGGGCAGAAGGCAAGGCACTGGCACTGGCAGCCCCCCACCCTCTCCCATATGTGGGTGTTAGGCCCAGCCTCCTTCTCCAGCCCTCCCCATCCAATGCTGATGTTCAGGGAACAGGCTCTGCCCATGGGCCTAAACTCTAGTCTGAAATAGCCCTCAGAGGTCACCTGGTCCAATTCTCTCCCAAATGTGGTGCTAGTCACCTCCGTGGCATTTCTGCCCAGGGGTCCACTTGAATCAGGCCAGACATTTCTTGGAAGCAGGAGCTTACCTTTTCTTAAGGCACTCTGTTCCTTCTTTTGAAGGAAAAAACTGGAGGGAGTGATTGATGGGCTAGGCCTAGATACTCTACAGTCCTCTCATTAACAATAACCTCATAGGGCTGTTCTGATGAATTAGCTCCATTTACAGATGAGAAAAGTGGGCTCAAAGAGTTGAAGTCCTGAGCTCAAGGTCACACAGGTAATAAATAAAGAATCAAGATCTGAACCCAGGACTTCTCTAACTACCAAGTCCCTCCGGGGGTGACAAGACATGCTTCTTCTTTTGTACCAGGACAACTCTTCTGATATCTGAAGTCCAAGACCACATTTTTCTGAGTCTCCTTCAGCTTCAACTCTCTCCAGGGGAACCTGAATATCAGCCTCCTCCTCAACCTGGTCAGTGTGAGATCCAAGACCAAACACGAAGTCTGTCAGGTGAGTTTGGGTCAGCCCAGGATAGAGCAGGACTCTCACATCCTTCTTTGGCACTAATCTTGATCAATGTGAACTGATGGCTGGAACTGTCCTCCTCCCTTTGGGCCCTTAGCCCCTCCTGAATGAAGAGCAATGAAAGAAGAGGCTTCTACCTCCACCACTCCCCTGGTCTGAATGTCCAGAATTGAGAGCAGAAAGAGGCAGAGGTAGGGAAGAGGCAATTAAAACCATGGCAGGATTAGGAGAATGAAGGGCTGGGCATGGGGTGAGGTGGCATGAGGTGAGCAGACAGAGCCTAGAGAGGATCAGGGCTTGGGTGTGCATGGGAGATAAGAAGGGGGGGGGGGCATGGGCCCAGGAGTTGGGCGAGACCAGGGTGGGGATGGGCATTGGTCTGCCTGGGTTAACATCGCCCTGCTGTGTGAGAGAAAGTCAGTCGCACTTTAAGGAAATGTTGCAGTTGGTACTAAATTGGGAGTTGTCACAGGCAGCAGTGAGGACAGGTATGATTTGTGGGGCTCTGTGTGGCCCCAAACAGGCAGAAATTGAAGAAGCACGGAACTGAGTTTCTGAGGCTACTCATTAAGGATCTAAGGCACTCAGAACAAGGGCCTTGGGGATAGGGGGTCACTTGGTGCTGGAACCAAGGCTCCAGGTTTGGTTTCCAGAAGTAGAGGAAGTCTCCTCATCGTGGCCTGGGGCTGGGGGCTTTGCACTCAGGAGAAGCTCTGAGGGAGAGGGTGTCATCTCCAAGGGATGCCACTTAAGGTACAGGCTGGACAAGAGGCTTGGGGCCCAGGAGCAAGCTCGGGATTAGAAAGAAAGCCTGAGTAGGAGAGGGATGGAGGGGCTGAGGGGAGGGAGGTGCAGGAAGGAGAGGAGCAGGACTGTCCTTCTCCTTAGTGCTGATAATACAGCTGGATTTGAGAACCCTATGGGCCCTGGCCTCAGGTGAGGGAGAGTGCTTTGGAAGAGAGGTGGGAAAGACAGGAAGGGAACTGTGGAGCTGACACTGCCCTTTGACAGCACAGCAGGAAGCAAGAGAGCAGGAGTTTGCTTGCTTGGAGAAGAAAGAGACAAGAAGACAAAGGAGGTGGGGGACATGGGGAACCTGATGGGAGCCTAGGGCAAAAGTAGGAGCTTAGAACTGGAACATGCAGTTTGGAGACCTGACATTGCTGCTTATGGCTGAGCAACCTTAGGGCAAACTGCTTGATCTCTCTGCACCTCAATTTCCTAATTTGTGTAATTGTCATAATGGCACTAGTATTACCAAACTCTTTGAGTGGTTGTGAACTTCTAACATATGTGAAAGGGCTTGAAAACCCTTAAATGTCAGATATTAAATTCTTATTACAGAATATTGTCAGTTACCTCTTCCCACTTAAGTCTCACAAAAGACCCAGGATGTGGGCAGAATAAAGATTATTAGTCTTATTTTACAAATGAGCAAAAGAAAGCTCAGAGAAGTGAAATGACTTGCCCAAGGTCACACTGGTAACAAATTGTTGAAGTGATAAGGCCTCCTGAATCAGAGAGATTAACTGTTTTCCTCTACATCAAATCACTGGGTAAAAACAATCAATGTGCAGAATTATTACTTAGTACAGGGCCAAACGGAGCTTGGAAGTGACTATAACATTAAAAAAAACCTCATAGGAAAGTTGTGGCAAGGCTCATTCATACTGGTAATTGAGAAAAAAACAAAATAGTTGTGGCTATGGGATTGGATGGAGACCACAAAGAGATAGGCATCCTTTATTCCACCCTGCTGCACCCGAGTGTATGTGTTTATGGCAGACATTGAGGGTATGTGTCTCTATATGACAAAAAATGTGTCCTTCTTCATGTGACAGTACTTCTAGCTGCATGCCTCTGACAATGTGGAGAGATGTATGTGTATGTGTGTGTGTGCATGCATGCAGGTGTGCATGTGTGTGACAGTGTATGTTTCTATGGCACCATTTGTGGGTGTGACGACCTCTCCATCACTGTTTGACTTTGCCCTGGGGTAATGGTGAGGTATATGGCTGTGTGTGTGTGTGTGTGTGTGTGTGTGTGTGTGTGTATCTGTCTATACACCTTTAAGAAGTGGAATATCTCATTTGGTAGTGTGAGTGAGGCAGTGAGTCAGCTGAGGCTGAGGAAGGCGGGAGGAGACTGCTAGGTTAAGAGAACAGGAAATGGGAGAAGGAAAAAGTGAAGTCAGGAGCTACCCCTTTTCTCCCCAACCTTCTGCTTCAAATCCCTACGGAGCCCACTAAGAGCAATGAAACCTTGCCCAAGTCCATGGGGATCACTCTGAATGAAAAGGTGACACTTTCTGCCCTTTCCCAAAGCCTTGGAGGGAGATGAGCTAGACTAGGAGGCAACTGTCTCCTCCAGCTCTCAGCCCTCAGTTTGAAAACGTGTAAGTCCACTACCCTACCTGGTCTCCTTGTCACTTGACTCTTTGACCTTGCTGCTCTCTTTCCTCTGAAAGGCAGGCCACTTGTTCATGCCAGGAGAACAGGGTGGGAGCATCAGGTCCCACAGGTTTACAGTTCCAACCCACCTACTGTCTAGAACAACCCTGCTGAGGGTCAAGAAGTTTCTCAATACTCAGCTCTTCCCTATGCAGGCCTCTTCTGTGGCTGCCTCTCCTCTCCTCTCCTCTCCTCTGGATGCCTGTCCCTAACAAAAGCCAGCTTTCCTTCCACTACCACCCTGGGGTGCTGGGAAGGCACTGGGAGTTTAGTAATGCACCAACCTTCAGTGTCCCTTCCACAAGCTGGTGTGCCCAGTTCCCAGCTCCTTCTTTTGTCAGGGGACACAAGCCTGCAGGTTCCCTTCTTGGGAGAAGACAGGCACCCTTGGGCTCCATCTGCCTAGGCTCTGGGCAGCCACATCAGGTCATATAAGGTCAATAAATAGTATGGTGTGCCCTACCGCCAAGAGTGTGCCTCCTCTCACCCATTGGTAGTAGCTAAAGAGTGAGCCATTCTTCCCCTTGGCTTTTGGCCTCCCCCCTTGCACCAGCCAATCCCAGGACATCTGATTCTGGCCCAGGCAAAGAGAGAGACATGGCTGACTGAGCATGGTGGCTAGGGGAGCACAACCTCTCCTTCCAACCCTTTGCTTGCCTGCCCAGGGCCCCATAACTCCTCTCTCCACAAGTGGGGCTCGCTCCTGGTGTGGGGGTGGGTCTCCAGGAAACCCCAGCCCTAAAATGTCCAAATCTGGAATTCAGAGAAGTTGACCAGTAATTACCTGACCTGAATCCCTGAGGCCCCCTCTCTAGGGAGGGGCCCAGGATGACAGTCGCAGTATCTGGGAAATAGTGGGGTGGATAGAGAAGGAGATCTTTTCTCTCCTGGTCCCACTGCTTCTGCTGCCAATGCCCAGGACGCTAGTTCTTACCTTACAGCCTTTCCTGCAGGACCGGATTGAGTACTCTTCTGCCTGCAAGTATTTGTGGAGCACGAGGTCGAACTCATCATATTTTTCCTGAGCATGTCGGTCCAGTCGCTGGTATGCCTCGATACAGTTGCTACATGCCTCCCAGGCCCCAGAGCCAGGGCTGGCCACCATGGCCAGCAGGTCCCCCAGCAGGGTGTCCAGACTGCAGTCAAGGCTGTCTGGGCGGTCCATGCCCAGCAGCAAGTCCCAGACTGTGTAGGTGTCGCAAAAGGAGAGAGTGAAGTTCCGAAAGTGGCCTTTGAGCAAGTTTTTTTTGGCAGAGGGGAACTCAGCCAGGGCAAGGGAAGGGAAGTCAGGGGGCCGCAGAGGGGGGGCCGGGGTAGTCGGTTCGAAAAGTCTCTGCAAAGATTCCAATTTGGTGCAAGCTGCATCCAGCCCCGTGGGCTCTGGGATGCCGCCGCAGACCTGCTTGGGGTTGGCGGCGGGGTCGGCTTTGGTCAGGTTGCTGTATCTCGGGCCGCAGGTACCCGGGGGCGCGCTGGGCTCGCCAGGCGGCGGCGGCGGCGGCGGCGGCGGCAGTGGCAGCACCGCCCGAGGAGACACCGGCTGCCGCTCACGGCCGGTCCCCCAGGGCGGCCGCATGGAGCTGCTCAGCTCCCTGGCCCGGGGCCGGGCCCCAGCGCACAGCCACAGATGGTCAGCGAGCAGCACGGTGAAGAAGAGCAGGGACGCCAGGGATAGTCGCCATCGCTGCGCCCGCTCGGAGTCGGCACACGGTTTGTCGTTCGGCCTGGGAGCCCAGCAGCAGCAGCAACAGCAGATAGTCAGCGCGGCGGCGTCTTTCCCGGGACACATCCAAGCGCCCCTGAACATATTTCAGGGGGTCCGGGCTGGAGGGAGTAGGCAGGCGCGAGGCCGGACGGCCGTCTCAGGCGGGCTGCGCGCCGCTCCGCGCTACTCGGCGCCGTCCAGGCACTACGTCGGGGGCTGCATCGTGAGGCAGACCGGCTAGCCCCGGGCCCCACTCAGGCCAGAGTCGCGGGGCGCTCTCGTGCCGTTCCCGCGACCCTCCAGCGCTCCCTCACTCGCAGCCGGAGAGCCGCCACCCGACCTGCTAGGCGCTGCCCGGCGTCCCGGCGGGAGGCTGTGCGGGGCACAGGGGCGGTGGCGGCTGTGGCGGCGGCGCCGCACTCCTCATAGTGTCGGGCCCCTCAGCTGCCCTCGGCTCCGCGCCACTTCACTCTGCGCCGGCGGCCGCCCGGCTCGCACTCTGTTCCGGCCGTCTCTGCTCGGCGCTGCTCTGCACCCCTCTGCGCCGCCGTGCGGGCCCCGCCACCGCGCTCCGCTCCGCTCGCCCCGCCCCGCTCCACTCTAGCCCGTCCGCCCGCTGCCCGCTCCGCGCTGCTCCCTGCCTGGCTCGCGCCCTCCTAGGCCGGCCGGCCGGTCCGCTGCCCGGTCCTTCGGGGTTTGCTTGAGCTCCGGGCGTTTGCCTGGGCCGGTCCCGGGCGGGCTCCGCACTGGCTCTGCACCCGCTGCTCCCAGAGTTCCGGCTCAGGCGGGCCACCTGGCTCCCGGCAGCGCCACAGGCGCCGGACGCGGACCCTGGGCTCTACTTAGTGCGCCTCTTGCTTCCGCCTCTCCTTCGCACCACTGTGGTGGCCGCCCAGCGGCACGGCCCCGTGGCTCCTGCTGGCCATGCCCCCTCAGTCTGTCGCCATCTTCCGCTGTGCAGAGAACACCTTGAGAGCCCGTGTGCGAGTGTGTTTAGGGGGAGCGGGGCGGAGAAAGAGGCACCAGGAGGAGGGAGCGGGACTGGGGCCCCGACTGCGCCTGCGCCTCCGGACTGAGCGAGCGAGCGAGCGAGCGAGAGTGTCTCCTCTCTCTCTCTCTCTCTCTCTCTCCCTCCTCCCCCCCCCCAATCCCCCGCCGGCTGCAGCCTGTGCTGTTTGGGGATGTTTCCAGTCCACCCCCAACTCCATTCACTTCAGCGCCTCTGTCGGTCCGCCCGCTCCCCGCGTGCACACGCCACACACTGAGTCCCAAGCCCTGGCGTTCCCCCTCCCCCACCAACCCGGGCGCCCACCTCCTTCCCCAGGGCCCCCCCTCCCCACCCCGAGGGCTCGGGGACTTCTGTGGGTGATTCTTGGAAGCAGAAGACAGGAGACATCTCCACAGCGTCTCACTACCTCCCTGGGCCGCCTCCCCCATTCCCGTGACTAGGAGACGCTGGAGCCGGCTGCGGATCGGACCAGTCCCCTGTCCCTAACTCTGCTGTCGCCTTCACTGTCCTGCCCAAGGCTAAGGCGGCCCCTGGTGCTGAAGGACAACTCCCAGTTTAGCTACGGAAGATGACCGAGCTTGGAGAGCATCCTGGAAGGGGCAAGGTAGCGGGCTAAGATGGGTAGTAGTGGTGGGGTGTCGTTTTTGTCCTTAGGAAGATTTCCAGCTGCCTCCCCCTAAACCCTGTCTTGGCTTCCTGGCTCCCCCTACAGGCTACTGGGAATCGTTAGGGAAGCTGTGCCGCCGCCGGCATGGAACCATGTGCTTGGGGCTCTCACAGAGTCACATGGTACTAGGAACTCGGCTGTACAAACGTCCTGCCGCGCCGCTAACCTTGTTTGGACTCCACAAAGTCTCAGATTGTCCCTCTGGTCTACTTCCTTTCCTTGCTCCTTCCTACTTTCTGAAACTCTCACCTTCTAGTTTTTGGCTATTGCCAGCAAGGATTTGTTAATATTAGAAATAATAACAGTAAAGAAAATAGCCTTTATTGAACCCATGCTATGTGCAGGGTACTGCTCTAGTCACTTTACATACATTACTTATCTAATCTTTACAACAATAGTGTGAGATAGGCGCTGTGCTCATCTTCATTTGTATGTGAGGAAGCTAAGGTTTTAGTATGATTAAATGATCTAAGGTGCAGCCAAGATAGAAAGCCAGGCAGTCTGCCTCTAGAGTTCTTTAACAGTAAAGTAAGGCCCTGGAAAGATGAAGGTGTGGAAGACAACAGTCCTGCCTTAAGGGAAATTGTAGTCTATACAAGGAAGCATGGAGTCCTTTTTTTTTTTTTTTTTTTTTTTTTTTTTTTTTTTTTTTTGTAGCGGGGATGGAACTCAGGACCTTGCACTTGCGAAGCAGGCACAACACCACTGAGCTAAATCCCTGGCCCGAGTCCTTTCTCCTTTCTGAGTCTTGATTTTCCCCTAAATAATATGAGGGGATGCCAAGGGTTAAATGAGATGGGTGGGGATTGTTAATAGAACTACTCAGAGGTAGACTGGGCTGGGTGCATGACAGGTTTCTGGAAGAATACTTGGAGCTAGTTCCTAAAGAAGTACAGAATTTGGGTGGGTGAGTGGGAAGGGCATTCCAGGTAAGAGGGATGCAGATGAAAATTTCAGGGATGGGGAGCAGCTTTGAATGTTTGCGAAGCTGTGAATGTGACACTAGTGCTATAGAGCTATTGATGGAGAGAGTCTGTGGGGAAGTAAAGTGAGATGAGACAAGGGATAAAACTGTCAAGCGGGCCGGGGATTTAGCTCAGTGGTTCCAGCGCCTACCTCGAAAGCACAAGGTCCCGGGTTCCATCCCCAGTACCAAAAAAAACCCCACAAAAAACAAAAACAAAACAAAACTGTTAAGCATTTGAGAGGCCTATTCTTTCATTGTGTTCAAGCACCATGCTAGAGTGTAGATAGGACATTGAGATGGGGCAAACATAGCCCTGCTCTTGAGATGTTCACAATTGATTTAGGGAGGCAGTCATTATTTTCTTTTTAATTTTTAATTTTTTCTAGAAAAACATTTATTGGTACATTTTAGATGTATATAATGATAACAATCATCATAGGGAATTTGTGCCAGTACATGATATATCTTGCTTCTTTTTTTCCCCATCCCTCCCCTTATGTATAAAAGCTTTGCTTCCATTTTTTTCCTTTGATTTTCTTTTTTTGTCCCTTCTTTCCTCCCTCCCCTTGTTCCTTTTCTCGTTTGAGGATTTTCTTCTCATTTCCCAGTGTCTATTGTACATTTTAGTTCTTATTTCCACTTTCGGTTTCTCACACCAGACAAACAATGCAGTATTTAAACATGTGTGTTTGATTTATTTCACTTAAGAGTATGGTCTCAAGGTGCATCCATTTAGCCATAAATGTCTCAAGCTCATCCTTCTTTATGGCAGAGTAGTATTCCATTGTATAAAACCCCCCACATCTTCTTTATACATTAGTTGGTTGATGGGCATTTGGGGGAGGCAGTCATATTGAAGAAGGACTTGCAACCCAGTGCAATAGGGAGGGATCAATCAGCTCAGCCAGTTTCCCTCAGAGATGATTTTGCACACAGCCACATGAGGTGGGGCATTCATTCATTTGTTCATTTGTCAAACACTATTGAGGATCTATTATGTCCTGTGTATTATACTAGGCATTAGCAACATAGGCACGAGTAAAGTATGTTTCTTTGGGTTGAGACAGTTTAGTTGAAGTCTTAAGGGATGAATGGGACCTGGCCAGACAGATAGCAGAGAAAGCGGTGTATGAAGAATATCCCAGGCAGAGGGAAGTCATGTGAAAAGACCCAGAAGCAAAGCCAGGAGAGGCATATTCAGAAACCTGCAACGTTCATTTTGATTAGGAGTGAAGTGGAGCACTGTAAAAGAGCAGCCTGAAGATTTGTCAAGAGGCAAATCATGCAGGGTCCTGGGTGCCATGCTAAGTATTTGGACTTTGTCCCAGAGGTACTTAGAACCGTGGAAGAGGTTGAAGCATTTTCAGGAGGATGTGACACAATCAGATTTGTATTTTTAGATTGATTTGTTTGCAGCACAGAGATTGGGTTGGAAGGGGCGAGATTGAAGGCAGGGAGACTCTTTAGGAGACTGGTTGGTAGTCCAGGTGAGAGGAGTTGAGGGCTGAACAAAGGCAGCAACAGTGGGGAGGAGAGAAGACATGCACATGGGAGGAAAATGAAAGAAGTAGAATTGAAAGGAGCTAGGACTGGCCTAGATATAAGAAATAGAGACAAGGCCCAGGGAAGGAGGGCAAAACCAAAAGGGTTCCAGTTAGTGACACTGGCATGACTGCCCCTGCCCACCTAGGGAATGTGTTTTCTGAGCCATTCTTTGTTTAGTCCTTGGAGGGCTCAGTGTTGTGTTTAACAAAGAAGGCTAATCGCTTACAGATACCTAGTTTAGAGCTGATTGGGAGGGCCACGGTGATTGACACCCTTGAGTGCCAATGAAAGAGCAGCCTTCCAGGCCTAGGCTATCAGCACGAAGCACCTCTGGGGCTTTCTGTGAGAAGTCACTCAGGCAGTACTCCCTCCCTCTTCCCCAGCACACACAAGGTGAAAAGTGTCTCACAAAGGTCCATTTATCACAGGAGCACAATATAACATTAACTTACCCACACAGTACCCGCTGCACACAAAGAAGTGGTAGCACACTAGCAGTCAGAGGAGGCTCTCATTCTCTCGCTCTAGATAACACAAGAAATTGGGACGGGGGCAGGGAAAGCATTGGCCTCTAATCAGTCCCTGGAACAGAAAAGCCAAGCTGAGGAGCGGGGCTAGAGTGGCCTGCTGCTCCTTGCAGCTGGTAGGCCCTGGCCAACCTTCTTCCCAGTTTTTCCTCTCTCCCTGGCCTCTCCTTCTATCCCCAGAACAAGCTAAAGTCAGAGGCTAAAGGTGGAACTCTCCTGAGGGGACTCATACTGCTCCGGAAGGGCACCCTCAAACTGGGCAGGGTAGTGGATAAGTTGGGGTAGAAAGAGGAAGGGAAGATTTTCCACAGTGAAATATTGAAAATTAGGGAGAAGACAAAGTGAAAACTGTTTAAAGAGATCTAAGCCCAGGTCTTTAAAGGTCATGGCAAAGATGGAAAGAAGTGCATGCAATTAAAGGTGAATCTAAGAGCCTGTAAGGAAAGTGTTAGGATGGCTAAAGCGCAGCTTGAACTGAAGCTTGTCTGGCTCTGCCTGGATCACACCCTCCATCCCCTCCTTCCATAGTGAGAGGCTACACCTGTCCCATAAGACAGGAAGGATTGAAGTAACCCCAACCTTCCCACTGGAACTCTGCATCAAGTTGTCTCTTTGCTGTTGGTCTGAGTCTGATCCCAAGTTTCCATCAAGCCTCTACCTCATTCTCCACTTTTGATCTCTACTCTTCTGTGTCTCATGTTCTGTGTTTGTATCCCTGCCTGAGCATTCGTCCCATCAAGGTGTACGCTTGGTCATGCTCTTTTAATTTACCATCTAGGGAGGGAGTCCTGACTGTGAACCTCAACCCAGTGGCTGAGGCCTTGTGGCCCACTGGCCCACTCCTCTGATCCCAGCTGCCCACTTGTATTTCTACATGCCCTTCCTTCTGATTTCTGTAGTCATGTTTGGCCTCCATTTGGGTCCCTTGGTTTCCTGTTATAACCGTATGCCAGTTAGGAATGCTTTTATCTATAAATAATAGGCAATTTGACAATTGTGGCTTAAACAGATAAAGGTTTCTTTGTTTTATTCAACAAAAATTCCCTTGAAAGATGGTCCAGGGTTGGAATAGTAGTTCAACAATGCCATCAAGACCCTGGCTTTTCATCTTCATTTTCATCCTTAAGGTGGGCTTTCATCCACTTGGTTTTTGCCTTGGGGTCAGAGGATAGCTGCCAAAGCTCCAGGTTCCATGTCTGTATTCTAGACAGGAAGGGAAAGAACTAGGGGACAAGGAAGCTAAGGGAAAAGGATCTTCTACAGAGGCATTTCCTTTAATTCAGAATGGAGCATTCTCTCCAGTGACATCCACTTATATCTGTTTAACTATAACTCTGTCATATGGACATTCCTAG